TTGAGAGGCAGTGTGAGCACAGGGTGTGCTGTGTCTCACCTTGAGAGGCAGTGTGAGCACAGGGTGTGCTGTGTCTCACCTTGAGAGAGCAGTGTGAGCACAGGGTGTGCTGTGTCTCACCTTGAGAGGCAGTGTGGAGCACGGGTGTGCTGTTGTTCCCCTTGAGAGGCAGTGTGAGCACAGGGGGTGTGCTGTGTCTCACCTTGGAGGCAGTGTGAGCACAGGGGTTGTGTCTCACCTTGAGAGGCAGTGTGAGCACAGGGTTGTGCTGTGTCTCACCTTGAGAGGCAGTTGTGAGCACAGGGTTGTGCTGTGTCTCACCTTGAGAGGACGTGTGAGCACAGGGTGTGCTGTGTCTCACCCTTTAGAGGCAGTGTGAGCACAGGGTGGTGCTGTGTTTTCACCTTGAGAGGCAGTGTAAGCACGGGTTGTGTGTGCTCACTTGAGAGGCAGTGTGAGCACAGGGTGTGGTGTCTTCCTTGAGGCAGTGTGAGGGGTGTTGCTGTGTTCCTTGTGAGGCAGTGTGACACAGGGTGTTGTGTGTCTCACACTTTGAAGAGGCTCAGTGTTTGGGAGGGTTTTCTGTTCTTCCCTTGGTGCTGTTGTGAGCACGGGTGTTCTGTGTTCCCCGGGGGTGTGGGGGTGTTTTTTGTCTATTTTTTAGAGGGAGGGGGCGGGTGTGCTGTGTTATTTTTTGGGGCGTTTGGCACGGGTTTTTTTGTGTTCACCTTGAGGGGCAGTTTGAACAGGGTTTTTCTGTGCTCACCTTGAGAGGCAGGTTTAAGGAACAGGGGTGCTTTTTTGTCTCCCTTGAGAGGGCAGTGGAGACAGGGTTTTTCTGTGTCTCACCTTTTAGAGCAGTGTGAGCACGGGTGTTCTGTGTCTAACCCTTTAGAGGCCGTGTGGCACAGGGTGTTCTGTGTCTACCTTGAGAGGCAGTGTGGCACAGGGTGTTCTGTGTCTCACCTTTAGAGGGAGTGGAGCACCCAGGGGGGTTCTGTGTCTCACCCTTTAGAGGCAGGTGAGCAAGGGTGTTCTGTGTCTCACCTTGAGAGGCAGTGTGAGCACAGGGTGTTCTGTGTCTCACCTTGAGAGGCAGTGTGAGCACAGGGTGTGCTGTGTCTCACCTTGAGAGGCAGTGTGAGCACAGGGTGTGCTGTGTCTCACCTTGAGAGGCAGTGTGAGCACAGGGTGTGCTGTGTCTCACCTTGAGAGGCAGTGTGAGCACAGGGTGTGCTGTGTCTCACCTTGAGAGGCAGTGTGAGCACAGGGTGTGCTGTGTCTCACCTTGAGAGGCAGTGTGAGCACAGGGTGTGCTGTGTCTCACCTTGAGAGGCAGTGTGAGCACAGGGTGTGCTGTGTCTCACCTTGAGAGGCAGTGTGAGCACAGGGTGTGCTGTGTCTCACCTTGAGAGGCAGTGTAAGCACAGACTAATATTCATGTGGTGAGAGCACAAGTGATTTGTAACGTAATGTTGTTGGTGTAGCTTCTCTTGTTATGAAAGTTCTCATTATCTACCCTGGCATTTTTCCTGGCCTTGTCCTCGTACACTTTAATTCCACTCCCTTCCTTCTTCTCCTCTTCCTTCCTTCCCTTCTCCTCCCTTCCCTCTTCCTCCTCGTCCCTTCCCTCTTCCTCTTCCTCACTTCCCTCTTCCTCCCTTTCCTCTTCCTCCTCCCTTTCCTCTTCCTCCCTTTCCCCTCCCTTTCCTCTTTCTCATTCTTCCCTTTTCTCCTCCTTCCTTTCTTCTTTCTCCTCCTCCTCCCTTCCCTCTTCCTCCTTCCTTCCCAACACATCCGGATGACCAAAAAATTGCCAAGTTTTCTGCAAGAATGCAATATCCGCCTTCCTTGTTTTTATATTTCCACAATTTGTTGGAGGTATTGTGGGAAGGTGTTGAATAGTGGTGGCTCCTTTACACTGAGTTCTATCAGTGTATTCATCTCTTCCTTGCTTCTCACTGAAGGTATCCTGCACCGTCTGCCAAGCCTACCTACCTTCATAAGCAAAAATTTCAGTGTGCAGGTTTGGTATCTTCCAGGTGTAGATTATGATGTATCTTTCTCGCCTGCGTTCTAGGGAGTACAGTTCTAGGTGCTTCAAGCACTCCCAGTACTTCAGGTGCTTGACTGAGTTCTTACGAGCTGTGACGGTTCTCTCTACATTATCCAGTTCAGTAATTTTTCCAGTCCTGAATTAGGTTGTTAGTACACAGCAATATTCCAGCCTGAACAGAATCATTGGCTTGGTATCTCTTGTTATGAAGGTTCTAGTTATCCAACTTATTATTTTTCTTGCAGTTGTGATAACATTGTTGTTCTCTTGAACGTGAAATCTTCTGACATTATCACTCCCAGATCTCACACATCACACTGACTCTGTTGAGTGTTTAAGTCTTTATTGTTCTCTGATCTTGTTGTTGTTTCCTCATTCCTTACATGACGTAGTAACTGAAATTTATCCTCACTGAACATCATATTGTTGTCAGTGGACCACTGGAAGACTTGGTTTATATCAGTGGTCCACTGGAAAACTTGGTTTATATCAGTGATCCACTGGAAGACTTGGTTTATATCAGTAGTCCACTGGACGACTTGGTTAATATCAGTGGTCCACTGGAGGACTTGGTTTATATCAGTGATCCACTGGAAGACTTGGTTTATATCAGTGATCCACTGGAATACTTGGTTTATATCAGTGATCCACTGGACGACTTGGTTTATATCAGTGATCCACTGGAAGACTTGGTTTATATCAGTGATCCACTGGAATACTTGGTTTATATCAGTGATCCACTGGACGACTTGGTTTATATCAGTGATCCACTGGAATACTTGGTTTATATCAGTGATCCACTGGACGACTTGGTTTATATCAGTGGTCCACTGGAAGACTTGGTTTATATCAGTGATCCACTGGAATACTTGGTTTATATCAGTGATCCACTGGAAGACTTGGTTTATATCAGTGATCCACTGGAAGACTTGGTTTATATCAGTGATCCACTGGAATACTTGGTTTATATCAGTGGTCCAATGGAATACTTGGTTTATATCAGTGATCCACTGGAATACTTGGTTAATATCAGTGGTCCACTGGAGGACTTGGTTTATATCAGTGATCCACTGGAAGACTTGGTTTATATCAGTGGTCCACTGGAAAACTTGGTTTATATCAGTGATCCACTGGACGACTTGGTTTATATCAGTGATCCACTGGACGACTTGGTTTATATCAGTGATCCACTGGAATACTTGGTTTATATCAGTGGTCCAATGGAATACTTGGTTTATATCAGTGGTCCACTGGAACACTTGGTTTATATCAGTGGTCCAATGGAATACTTGGTTTATATCAGTGGTCCAGTGGAATACTTGGTTTATATCAGTGGTCCACTAGTGGTACAATGGACGACTTGGTTTATATCAGTGGTCCACTGGAACACTTGGTTTATATCAGTGGTCCAATGGAATACTTGGTTTATATCAGTGGTCCAGTGGAATACTTGGTTTATATCAGTGGTCCACTAGTGGTACAATGGAAGGCTTGGTATATATCAGTGGTCCACTAGTGGTCCAATGGAAGACTTGGTTTATATCAGTGGTCCACTGGAACACTTGGTTTATATCAGTGGTCCACTAGTGGTACAATGGAAGACTTGGTTTATATCAGTGGTCCACTGGTGGTCCAATGGAAGACTTGGTTTATATCAATGGCCCAATGGAACATTTGGTTTATATCAGTGGTCCAATGGAATACTTGGTTTATATCAGTGGTCCACTGGAACACTTGGTTTATATCAGTGGTCCACTGGAAGATAGATAGAGAGAGAGAGAGAAACGTGTACTCATAAATGTCATTCAGCGACCGGGAATTATTATTATTATTATAATCAAGGGGGAAGCACTAAACCCGTAGGATTATACAGCGCCTATGGGGGGATGGAAGGCATTCAGGCTTAATTCAGGGAACTGGAGCACAGATCCAATTCCCTAGATCAAGAGCCCCTCACCAGCGTCAAGGAGCCTTCCTTGAGGGGCAGCGACCGGGAAGAAGGGGAAGAATGGGAGGGGGTAGCTCAACTTCCTTGGATTATGAGGCCATCGAACCCCCCTCCCCTCACCCCCCCTAGTTGAGGGGGAGGGGAGGGGGGTTCCGGGTTCATCCAACATGGCGTCCTGTGTACAAAACTTGCCTTCATAAAAGCATGATTTTTTTTTTCATTTTCCATTAAAATACATCAAAATTAACTATTTTTAGAGACATATTCTTCTTTTTTTTTATTGTTAATATAATTATTGTAAGACGTTTTTGAGTGTGAATGGTTAATGCAAAGGAGCCTGAGTCCAGAGAAATAAGTCACACTAGCTTTCGACAGTAATATATATATTATATACGTGGCTATGTCATCAGCGTGCCTTCATTATTATTAATTTTTATATTATATTTATTATGCATGTATTAAACATTTATTGTGTATATAAGGAGCAAATAAGACAAGTTGGTTTGAAAAGGATCATTCGTAATTGGTGTAAATAACGTTGGTATTGTTGACAGTTGTCAGCTGTGTGTGAGGCGAGGCTGACCTTCCTCATCCTCGTCTCTGCTGATGAGGAGCTGACAGTACACGTCCTGGGTCCTCATCGTCTCTCCTGCCCACTCACAATACCGGTAAGTTGCTCACAATACCAGTGAGGTCACTGGTGACCTCAGTATCTCTCATTAACAACCATCGACCTCACCCGTCCCCACTCACTCATTATTATAAATAAAATGAAGATAATAATCTCATGGTGAGGTAGACGGGGACAGTGACTATACTACCTCACTCAAATACATTTATTTACTTATTGTACAATAGTATGCTTTGGAGAAGCAGAAAGGGGTTTGATACTGAGATTAATGGGGATGGTACACAAATTCAGAAAAGGAATAATTTTACTGACAAGAGTGAATATAACTTTTACTTTCATCCTCCTTCATCTTAGCAAAAACACTCTGAACGATTTTGCTCGGATTTTATCCCCTTTTCCGTAACATTGCTAGCTCCTGGTGATGTGTTGATTGCAACACGAAAGGCCTAGAGCTATATTTCAACTCCCCACCTGACTGTTTTGCATAACTTACACTATAAGTTGGTAGAACAGTTCACCTCAGGAATTCAGTCAACTTGTAGCCACAGGTCCCAAGACCCACTGGTGGCCCGGTGGCTAAAGCTCCAGGTAACCCGCTTCACACACGGAGGGCCCGGGTTCGATTCCCGGCGGGTGGAAACATTTCGACACGTTTCCTTACACCTGTTGTCCTGTTCACCTAGCAGCAAATAGGTACCTGGTGTGGGTCGCATCCTGGGGGACAAGATTAATAAGGACCCCAATGGAAATAAGTTAGACAGTCCTCGATGACGCACTGACTTTCTTGGGTTATCCTGGGTGGCTAACCCTCCGGGGTTAAAAATCCGAACGAAATCTTATCTTATCTTATCTCCTGCCAGCCGGTACTCTGCCCAAAGTCTCCAACAGTGTCTCCGACTGTCTCGTCCAGCCAAAGTACTGTCCTCTGTCAGTCCTCTGTCCAGAGCTCTCCACACCGGCAAGAGTTCTTCCCTCTCCCTCTTAGCTGTTTCCTTGTGCTTATATAGTCCTCTGTGCGCCCCTTCCCCTAACTCTAAGGTCCAGGGGACACCCTTCATGGCTAGCAGACCACGTGTGGTTTACACAAAGGGATAGACCAGAGTCAGAATTCCGAGACTTAACACATAGCCTCGTCTTGTGGCCTAGTGACCCTAGATTTAGTGGGACTCGTGGTGACCAGATGTGTGAAACAGTTCATTTACATCATACTCTTCCTCCTCCAGATTTGTCAGTAAACAGGACAAGTGTTTTCTGAACTTATAAAGACCTCTAACCCCCCCCCCCGTTCCCTATAACTTCTAGCCAGACGTCATATCCCAGGGAAAACTTCACCAGGTGGTCACCATAGGGATATAGATTCCCCAGACATAACCAAGGTGTGAAGATTACCAGCCAAGACTCCTATTTTAGCAACAGGACACAGTGTTATATTATCATTGTTAATCAAGCATCAACAACCTTATTGGTGGTAGAGGTAAAGTTAGTGTGTGTAACCCAGCTTATTAACCACTCGGATACCAAACTGTTTTCAAGCATATTTAAAAAAAAAAAAGACATTAAAATCCCGTAGTATGACTTGCGTGTGTGTGGTTTAAACTGGTAAGAGATGCAAGAAGAGTGGTCAGTTGTGTTTGTGAGAGGAGATGTGTCAGCAGTGTGTTGTTTACTGTGGTGGCCCCTGGAGGAGGAATTAAAGCTGCCAGCCTCTTGGTATCTACACCACGCTGCTCCTCCTTCCCGTCTCCACTCTTCAAGCCTTTGATGTCATTTCACAGAGTAAACATAAACTTATTTACTCTAATTTAACGCAGTGTGGATGTTTTTGTTTGCTGCTGCTGCTGCTGCTGCTGCTGCTGCTGCTGCCGCTGCTGCTGCTGTTGCTGCCGTTGTGCTTTTGCGGAAGCGTTAAATTTGTATGGGTTATAGAGCGTTTAAGATCATTACGCGGCTCAGAGTATTTTGCAAGATTCAATTCTCTTCAAACTTTCAGGAGTTCCAAGTTTTTTTTCCAGCAGTTTCAGGCCACCTTCAGCAGTTCCAAGACACTTTTAGTAGTTCCTGAACACCTTCAGCAGTTCGAAGACACTTTTAGTAGTTCCTGAACACCTTCAGCAGTTCCAAGACACTTTTAGTAGTTCCTGAACACCTTCAGCAGTTCCATGACACTTGTAGTAGTTCCAGGATACTAGTATTTCCATAAATCGTACAGCAGTTCCAGGACACCTACAGTTCCAGGACCCTTGTAGTAGTTCCAGGACACCTACAACACTTCCAGGACACCTACAGGAGTTCCAGGACCCTTGTAGTAGTTCCAGGACCCTTGTAGTTCCAGGACACTAGTACCATAAATCATAGAGCAGTTCCAGGACATCTACAGCAGTTCCAGGACACTTTCAGTACTTCCAGAACACTTACATCAATTCCTGGACACTCAGTAATTGCAGTACAGTGTAATTCACAGAGACGCAATGTAATTATAACATGTCAAGTGTTCCCAGGTAACCTCACCTGCTCAGGTGGACGTGTTTACTGTCCCTCGTGGGTGCAGGGAGAGTCTAGTGGGTCTGGGTGTGGAGGTTGAGTGAGTGGAGGTTGAGTGTGAGTGGAGGTTGAGGTGGAGGGCACTACTTCCTCCACGCAAGGAATTTCATTTGGCAGGGGACTTGATGGGTTCCTAAGGAATTTCTCTCTCTCTCTCTCTCTCTCTCTCTCTCTCTCTCTCTCCCTCTCTCCCTCTCTCCCTCTCTCCCTCTCTCCCTCTCTCCCTCTCTCCCTCTCTCCCTCTCTCCCTCTCTCCCTCCCTCCCCCCCACACCCTACGTGAAGTAATGGAGAAGATAAGGGAGTGGTAGAGCACTTGGAGAGAAATGCTTTCATGAACAATAACCAGCAAGGCTTCACTGATGGTATGTCTTGTCTTACCAACCTGTTGGAATTCTGTCACAAAATAACAGAGAGAGGAGGGAGGGAGGGAATGATGGGTGGACTGGATATTCCTGGAGTACAGCAAGAAGGTATTTGATAGTGTAAGTCACAAGGCACTAGGATAACATAGATTGCGGCAGGAATAACATGGAACATACTCCGGTGGTTTAGTAAGACACATGTGCAACACTTGGGTGTGTGTATTCCGAAACGTTTCGTCTACACAGTAGACTTCTACAGTCAAATATAGAGAAGGCAGTAGACTGTGGAGCAGAACTCTTCTCCAGGTTGAGCGACTGATTACATCACCTCTCCACTGTTCCGATGCCTCTTCTGTATTCGACTGAAGACGCCTACTGGGTAGGCGAAACGTTTTGGAATAAAGATCCCTTCAAGGGAGGTTCCTTGATGCTGGTGAGCGGCTCTTGATCTAGGGAATTGGATCTGTGCTTCAATTCCCTGAATGCCTTCCGCCTCCCCACCCCCTCACGGGCGCTGTATAATCCTTACGGGTTTAGCGCTCCCCCATAAGAATTCTGAATGAAGATACCTAACTGTTGCACGTGTGTCTTATATAGACGTTGGAAGATAGAAGAACAAGGGGAGATAGGATAGACAGGGACAAACTGAGAGGTGTGAAACAGGTAGACAACGGCTTGTTTGGAAATTAGTCAATGATCGGTCTGAGGAATGTCAGGAAGTGGAATGGAGGCAGGCTCCACACACAGTTTGAGGAATAGGTACGATAGGGCCCACAAGGCTAGGAGGGAGTGAATCTGGAGAGTGGCAGGTTGAGAGGCGGGGCCAGGAGCTGAGATCCGACCCCTGCAGCAACATATAGGTGAGTATAGATGTGACACAGGAACAAGGGAACTGAAAACCCAGATGAACCATAGGAATGTTAGGAAGTATTTCTTTAGCCTTACAGTTGTCAGGAAAAGGAATAATCTGGAAAGTGAAGTAATGGAGGCAAGTTCCATACACAGCTTTAAGAAGGGGTATGATAAGGCTCTAGGAGAGGGGAGAGAGTGACCTAGTATCGACCAGTGAAGAGGCGGAGCCAGGAGCTATGAATCGACCCCTGCAACCACATATAGGTGAGTACACACACACACACACACACACACACACACACACACACACACACACACACGACTGCAAAGAGACCTGGACAGGCTGGACATGTGGTCCAGTAACTGGCTTCTCGAATTCAATCCAGCCAAATGCAAAGTCATGAAGATTGGGGAGGGGCAAAGAAGACCGCAGACAGAGTATAGGCTAGGTGGACAAAGACTACAGACCTCACTCAGGGAGAAAGACCTTGGGGTGACCATAACACCGAGCACATCACCGGAGGCACACATCAACCAAATAACCGCTGCAGCATACGGGCGCCTGGCAAACCTGAGAATAGCGTTCCGATACCTTAATAAGGAATCGTTCAAGACACTGTACACTGTGTATGTTAGGCCCATACTGGAGTATGCAGCACCAGTCTGGAACCCACACCTGGTCAAGCACGTCAAGAAGTTAGAGAAAGTACAAAGGTTTGCAACAAGGCTAGTCCCAGAGCTCAAGGGAATGTCGTACGAGGAAAGGTTAAGGGAAATCGGACTGACAACACTGGAGGACAGAAGGGTCAGGGGAGACATGATAACGACATACAAGATACTGCGGGGAATAGACAAGGTGGACAGAGATAGGATGTTCCAGAGAGGGGACACAGGGACAAGGGGTCACAACTGGAAGCTGAAGACTCAGACGAGTCACAGGGACGTTAGGAAGTATTTCTTCAGTCATAGAGTCGTCAGCAAGTGGAATAGCCTAGCAAGTGAAGTAGTGGAGGCAGGAGCCATACATAGTTTTAAGAAGAGGTATGACAAAGCTCAGGAAGCAGAGAGAGAGAGAGAGAGGACCCAGTAGCGATCAGTGAAGAGGCGGGGCCAGGAGCTGAGTCTCGACCCCTGCAACCACAATTAGGTGAGTACACACACACACACACACATATACACACATACACACATACACACACACACACACACACACACACACACACACACACACACACACACACACACACACACACACACACACACACACACACACACACACACAAGGCTCAATATCCCGCTCCTAACTTACAATATTTCCGACCAAATATTCCCTTTGTTTACAACACAGTGTTGTCCCGAAGGTGGTGTACCACGTCCCAGGACAAGGCTACCTCCACGTTGCTTACCCCTAAGAGTCACGTTACCGTGGTGTGGGCATAAGAGTGTGACCCTTGAGGGTCCTCAGCGTATAGCATGTTACACACCGCCAGTCTTTGAAAGGCTCGCCAATACACGTCGTTACTCAAGGTTTGTCGTAAGTAACGAGGCTATCAGTGTCCCTTCTTCCCCCTCTCCCACACCCCCTGGGGGGGAAGACTCCCTTCCCTGGGGTATGATGGACCTCCCTACATCTGGTAAGAAGGGGGTGGGGGGAGACTCGACTAGATGTGTTTTAAGAAAGCTAAAACTTCGTCAGAAGAAAGTTTTAATGTTCAGTGATCACACGACGTGTATGATACCTCAGCTTTTTCCTTCTCTCTCTCTCTCTCTCTCTCTCTCTCTCTCTCTCTCTCTCTCTCTCTCTCTCTCTCTCTCTCTCTCTCTCTCTCTCTCTCTCTCTCTCTCTCTCTCTCTCTCCCTCCTTCCCTCCCTCCCTCCCTCCCTCTCCCCCCCCACCTTTTCAATGCCACTCATCACTCTTCCAACCCATTTTCTTTCTAATCCCTCGCTCTCCCTGTTAAGAAATTGGCGGCACATGGAATAGGAGGAGAAATTATCTCCTGGGTTAGGTTAGGAAAGTTTTGCAACGAGGACAGAGTGAAGGCACTGAACTTGCACTCGCTACAAAGACCAGTTAGGGAATGAAGAATAAAGTGGATATACCGGGTTAATCACCGTCTTTACGCTGAAGCTTAACCCAGAGCCTACCCTTGACCCTGACCTTGAGCATATACATAAGGCGCAGGCTGATTTTCCAAGTTTTTTGTGGGTGCACCTTATATACCAGAAAATACGGTACTCGCCTTGCAAAACATTCACTCCAACCATTGTGCATACGTGGTCACAATAAAGTTAATAGAACTCTTGGCTTCCCATCAAGAAGTATAAATAACAGAAGTCTTAAGGTTATATTTCAAGTTAACATATCCTAGGTAAGTCACCATTTATATTATGTTGCACAGTTCTGGTCTCCATATTACAGGACGGTCATAAATGTGCTGGAAAATATAAACAGAAGGATGACCAAGTTGATACCACGTATTACAAACCTTTCCAACGAGGATAGACCGAAGACGCTAAACTTACACTCTCTACAAGGACCAGTTAGGGAATTAGGAATAAATGAAGATGTAAATAACGTGTTGAAAACATGTAACCAAGACGCGACTCTCAACAATGGAATCATATTGGATAAATTTAAATTTCGAAGGAATTTAGGGAAGTACTGGTTTGGCAGTAGAGTTGTAGATGAGTGGAACAAACTGCCAGGTAGTGTCGGTGAGGAGAAAACTTTGTATAACTTTAAATATAGATTGCACGGGTACTTAAGCCAGTAGCATGGGCCAGTAGGCCTTCCTCAGTGCTCCTGCAATCTTATTCGGTGTTCCTCGTTTCCATTCCTCCAACTCTTCCTTTCTAACCTTTCACTCCTCCCTTTCCAATCCTCCAAACCATCCTTCCAATCCTCTACTCCCTTACCAGTCCTGCACTGCTCCCTCAGCACTGGCATAGTAGGTGGTAGTGTTAGTGGGTGTTATTGTTTGTTATGGGTAATGACGCGTGACTGACGCCGGGGGAGGGTGCGTATGTTCCCCCTCCCGTCCTGCATGGGGGTGGCTCTCCCCCCTCTCCTTTCGCTGCAGTGTTGGGGAGGAGAGCGGGGTTGTGGGGGAAGAGTGCCCTCATCTTGATCAATAGGGATGCTGTGCATCTGGCCACTGCTACCCCCCGGATGTTTCAGGGTCTGAACCGGATATTTTAGGGTATCAGGGCCGGATATTTGGGGGTCAGGGCCGGATATTTTGGGGGTCAGGGTCGGATGTTTTTGGGGGTCAGGGCTGGATATTTTTGGAGGTCAGGGCCGGATATGTTTGGAATTCAGGACAGGATATTTGGAGTTCAGGGCCTGATATTTGCGGGTCAGAGCTGGATATTTGGAGTTCAGGGCCTGATATTTGGGGGTCAGAGCTGGATATATGGAGTTCAGGGCCTGATATTTGGGGGTCAGAGCCGAATATTTGGGGGTGGGGTCAGGACCCACTTAAAATTGGTTACCAAGGGATAACCTCAGAAAGCCTCTTCTGAGCGCTTGTTGTCGAGGGAGTATCTAAGGTGCCACTATTCTGACACTTCTAATTTCGTAACAATGCAGTAGTGTTTTTTACGTTGCTGGGGGATCTCGATACAGGGAATTCTACGCTTGTCTAAACCTATAGGCCTGACCTGCTTCCACCTGTGGATTTGTCTAATGTGATATCGCCTACGACTGCTTCACCTCACCTGTCTGCAGTGTATAAGGCCACTTATCAAGATTGATGCACTGATTTCATCGATTCCAGCTTGAGGGACTGATTACCTGAGACTCCTTCTGATCTTCACCATTCTTTGTGTGGACCGATGAAGTCACTGTGTGGCGAATCATCAGTATTTTGCATTATTGCATTGTTTTGCTTGGTGGTGGGTGGCTCTTGATCCAAGGTGGCTAAATGATCAATATTCCGCAGGTGTTATATGATCCCCTACCAGTTTAGCGCTCCCCCCTCGTTAAAACACATTTCAGTGAAGAACATCAATCATCAACGGCTGATTCATCTCACAAAATGAATGACGTTTGAAGGATATCGGCTGGGTAGGCATACGCATTTTGTTGCGCTTTGTGCCCTAACTGGAGAATGCATCTTCCGGTAGGCTTGAAACTTTCATTGCTGATGTGCTTGCCTCGAGGGGAAACAATCTTATGATGTTGAAAATGTTTTCTTGCGACAGTTTTATTCATGAAGTTGGTATCCTTAAAATAATTGGTACCCATGAAATAATTGGACAATGTTTCTTCTTGTCAGATATAAGTCAGTGTTTGACTGGCTATCCTAGGTTAAGTCTACAGTGTATGTGTGTACTTTGGTTATCTTAGATTAAATCTACAGTTAGTGTTGTGTGATGCGTTGTAACTAGTGTTGTGATGCGTTATAACTAGTGTTGTGATGAGTTATAACTAGTGTAATGTTGCAGGTCAACAACAACAGCTTCAACAAGGCCCTGACCTCCCGGCGTCCCATGACCCTGGCTGACATGCAGCCCTCGCACCAGGAGGACCTTTGGAGGCTCTTGGGCCTCCTTCACGAGGCTGACGGCATCAGCAGCGTCCGTAGAGTGTCCATGGACCCCGCCGCATCTCACGCCGACCGCCGGGGTTTCAAGAGCGCCGCCCGCAACGGCTCCGCCAGGAGCGTCGACGAGTCCACCTCCAGATTCAAGGTGCTGTCCAGGGACCTGTCCGTGGACGTGTCACGATCTGGGCTCAAGGGAAGCTGGGGCACGGACTACCACGGACTCGCCGCTACGCACAAGTACCACAGGGCCTCGCTGCCCGCTCACCGCACACAGAAGGGGAGCAGGGAGAGCTTCGAAGACGCGTCTCCGCTTCCCACAGCCTCCCAGCAGAGCATGGATGCCGGAGACTCTCTCCCCGGCATGCCTCTCCCAGAGTCCAACAGCTCAAAGGCGGCCTCGGCGGAGTCCTCGAGCAGAGCCAGCAGAGAGTCCTTCTGGCCGAGGTCACTGCTATGCGTGCCCATCAGTGCCCCGGGCAAGGACACCACGGACGTGCTGGCCTGCCTTGTCAACAAGGTTCCTGCTGGGGACTTCTCTCAACGTGACGTGCTCAAAGTGCAGGAGTGTTTCAGGTGAGTGTTGTTGCTTGAGTGTTTCGGGCAACACACTGTGTTGCAGGTACTAGCACTTGTGTTGCCTGTACTAGCACTGTTACAGGTTCTAGCACTGTTGCTGCAGGTACATGCACAATGTTACAGGTACTAGCACTACGTTACAGGTCCTAGCACAGTGTGTTACAGGTTCTAGCACTGTTCCAGGTCCTAGTACTGTGTTTGAGGTACTAGCGCTGCGTTACAGGTTCTAGCACTGTTAGAGGTATTAGCACTGTGTTACAGGTACTTGCACTGTGTTACAGGCGCTATCACTACGTTACAGGTGCTAGCACTGTGTTAGATGCACTAGCACTGTGTTACATGTTCTTACACTGTGTTACAGGTACACAGTAGGGATGCTGTTAAACACTGCCACAGCAGAGAGGGAGAGACGTCTACGTACACAGTGCCAGGCACTTCTGAATGTAGCACAGAACCTCTTCACCCACCTGGGTAAGTTAACCCACCTGTGTGTTGTTAGTTCACCCACTTGTGTGTATATTTCACCCACTTGTGTGTTGTTAGTTCACTGTCCATCACCTGTAGACAATACCTGTCAACCTATCATGCTTGTAGACAATACATCTCAATCTATCATGCTTGTAGACAATACCTGTCATCCTATCATGCTTGTAGACAATACCTGTCATCCTATCATACTTGTAGATAATACCTGTCAACCTATCATGCTTGTAGACAATACCTGTCATCCTATCATACTTGTAGATAATACCTGTCAACCTATCATGCTTGTAGACAATACCTGTCATCCTATCATACTTGTAGACAATACCTGTCAACCTATCATGCGTGTAGACAATACCAGTCATCATACTTGTAGACAATACCTGTCAACCTATCATGCGTGTAGACAATACCTGTCATATCATACTTGTAGACAATACCTGTCAACCTATAATGCTTGTAGACTACCTGTCAACCTATCATGCTTGTAGACGATACCTGTCATCCTATCATACTTGTAGACAATACCTGTCAACCTATCATACTTGTAGACAATACCTGTCAACCTATCATACTTGTAGATAATACCTGTCAACCTATCATACATGTAGACAATACCTGTCAATCTATCACACTTGTAGATAATACTTGTCAACCTATCATACTTGTAGACAATACCTGTCAACCTATCATACTTGTAGACAATACCTGTCAACCTATCATACTTGTAGACAATACCTGTCAACCTATCATGCGTGTAGGCAATACCTGTCAACCTATCATGCTTGTAGACAATATCTGTCATCCTATCATACTTGTAGGCAATACCTGTCAACCTATCATGCGTGTAGGCAATACCTGTCAACCTATCATGCGTGTAGGCAATACCTGTCAACCTATCATGCGTGTAGACAATACCTGTCAACCTATCATGCGTGTAGACAATATCTGTCATCCTATCATACTTGTAGACAATATCTGTCAACCTATCATGCGTGTAGGCAATACCTGTCAACCTATCATGCGTGTAGGCAATACCTGTCAACCTATCATGCGTGTAGACAATACCTGTCAACCTATCATGCGTGTAGACAGTACCTGTCAACCTATCATGCGTGTAGACAATATCTGTCATCCTATCATACTTGTAGACAATATCTGGCCCGGTGGCCTGGTGGCTAAAGCTCCCGCTTCACACACGGAGGGCCCGGGTTCGATTCCCGGCGGGTGGAAACATTTCGACACGTTTCCTTACACCTGTTGTCCTGTTCACCTAGCAGCAAATAGGTACCTGGGTGTTAGTCGACTGGTGTGGGTGGCATCCTGGGGGACAAGATTAAGGACCCCAATGGAAATAAGTTAGACAGTCCTCGATGACCCACTGACTTTCTTGGGTTATCCTGGGTGGCTTACCCTCCGGGGTTAAAAATCCGAAGAAAATCTTATCTTATCTTATCATGCGTGTAGGCAATACCTGTCAACCTATCATGCGTGTAGACAATACCTTTCAACCTATCATGCGTGTAGACAATATCTGTCATCCTATCATACTTGTAGACAATACCTGTCAACCTATGATGCGTGTAGACAATATCTGTCATCCTATCATACTTGTAGACAATACCTGTCAACCTATGATGCGTGTAGACAATATCTGTCATCCTATCATACTTGTAGACAATATCTGTCAACCTATCATGCGTGTAGACAATATCTGTCATCCTATCATACTTGTAGACAATACCTTTCAACCTATCATGCGTGTAGACAATATCTGTCATCCTATCATACTTGTAGACAATACCTGTCAACCTATGATGCGTGTAGACAATATCTGTCATCCTATCATACTTGTAGACAATACCTGTCAACCTATCATGCGTGTAGACAATATCTGTCATCCTATCATACTTGTAGACAATATCTGTCAACCTATCATGCGTGTAGACAATATCTGTCATCCTTATCATACTTATAGACAATACCTGTCAACCTATCATGCGTGTAGACAATATCTGTCATCCTTATCATACTTATAGACAATACCTGTCAACCTATCATGCGTGTAGACAGTACTTATCATCCTGTCACTGGATTGAACAATGAAAATAATAAATAATAATAATAATAATAATAATAATAATAATAATGCTACAGTTTTCCAAGGACGTAAGAAATCACAAATTTAGTTTACAAGTTTGTTGTGAGTGTTAGCTATGGTAATTAGCTATGCCTGTTATGATAATTAGTGATGTCTGTTAATTATGGTAATTAAGTCTGTTAATTATGGTAAATAGTGATGTCTGTTATGGTAATTAGTTAAGTCTGTTAGTTCTGGTAATTAGGTAAGTCTGTTAGTTCTGGTAATTAGGCAAGTCTGTTAGTTCTGGTAATTAGGTAAGTCTGTTAGTTCTGGTAATTAGGCAAGTCCGTTAGTTCTGGTAATTAGGTAAGTCTGTTAGTTCTGGTAATTAGTTAAGTCTTTTAATTCTGGTAATTAGTAAGTGTTAGTTCAGGGTAATGAGTCTTAGTTTTACAGTTTTGTAGTGTTATTGGTAATTAGGTAAGTGTTATTCTGGTAATTAGGTAAGTGTTGTTTGTAATTAGGTTAAGTCTTAGTTCTGGTAATTAGGTAGTTGTTCTGGTAATTAGGTAAGTGTTAGTTCTGGTAATTAGGTAAGTGTTAGTTCTGGTAATTAGGTAAGTGTTAGTTCTGGTAATTAGGTAAGTTCTGGTAATTAGGTGTTCTGGTAATTAGGTAAGTTTTAGTTCTGGTAATTAGGTGTTAGATCTGGTAATTAGGTGTTAGTTCTGGTAATTAGTTAAGTATTTTAGTTCTGGTAATTAGGTAAGTGTTAGTTCTGGTAATTAGGTAAGTGTTCTGGTAATTAGGTAAGTGTTAGTTCTGGTAATTAGGTAAGTGTTCTGGTAATTAGGTAAGTGTTAGCACTGGTAATTAGGTAAGTGTTAGTTCTGGTAATTAGGTGTTCTGGTAATTAGTTAAGTGTTTTAGTTCTGGTAATTTGGTGTTAGTTCTGGTAATTAGGTGTTAGTTCTGGTAATTAGGTGTTCTGGTAATTAGGTTTTCTGTAATTAGGTAGTTTAGTTCTGGTAATTAGTGTGTTCTGGTAATTAGGTGTTAGTTCTGGTAATTAGGTGTTCTGGTAATTAGGTAAGTGTTAGTTCTGGTAATTAGGTAAGTGTTAGTTCTGGTAATTAGGTAAGTGTTAGTTCTGGTAATTAGGTAAGTGTTTGGTTTGGTATTACCTTTTGGTGTTACTGGTAATTAGGTGTTCTGGTAATTAGGTAAGTGTTAGTTCTGGTAATTAGGTAGTTGGTTTGTTAGTTCTGGTAATTAGGTGTTAGTTCTGGTAATTAGGTAAGTGGTATAGTTCTGGTAATTAGGTAGTGTTAGTTCTGGTAATTAGGTAGTTTTAGGTTTGGTAATTAGTGTAGTTCTGGTAATTAGGTGTTTAAGTTCTGGTAATTAGAAAGGTTGTTCTGGTAATTAGGTAAGTGTTAGTTCTGGTAATTAGGTGTTCTGGTAATTAGGTGTTAGTTCTGGTAATTAGGTAAGTGTTCTGGTAATTAGGTGTTAGTTCTGGTAATTAGGTAAGTGTTAGTTCTGGTAATTGGGGTGTTCTGGGTAATTAGGTGTTGTTCTGGTAATTAGGTAAGTGTTGTGGTAATTAGGTGTTCTGGTAATTAGGTAAGTGTTGTGGTAATTAGGTGTTCTGGTAATTAGATAAGTGTTGTGGTAATTAGGTGTTCTGGGGTTTATTTAATTAGGTAAGTGTTGTGGTAATTAGGTTGTTCTGGTAATTAGGTAAGTGTTAGTTCTGGTAATTAGGTGTTCTTGGTTTAATTAGGTAAGTGTTAGTTTGGTAATTAGGTGTTCTGGTAATTAGGTAAGTGTTAGTTGTGGTAATTAGGTGTTCTGGTAATTAGGTAAGTGTTAGTTGTGGTTTAATTAGGTGTTCTGGTAATTAGGTAAGTGTGTTGTGGTAATTAGGTGTTCTGGTAATTAGGTAAGTGTTGTGGTAATTAGGTGTTCTGGTAATTAGGTAAGTGTTGTGGTAATTAGGTGTTGTGGTAATTAGGTTGTTGTGGTAATTAGGTGTTGTGGTAATTAGGTGTTGTGGTAATTAGGTGTTGTGGTAATTAGGTGTTGTGGTAATTAGGTGTTCTGGTAATTAGGTGTTCTGGTAATTAGGTAAGTATCATAATTACCTTGTCACTTGTGAATAATTTTTTTACAGCTCAACTTTTTTGGCATAATTGTTTACGTCAGTTAGTGCACTGTTGAACCACTGTGTCAGGACACTTTGAAGCAGCTGTTGAACCCTTGACACCTGTGTAGACACTGTTGAACCACTGTGTCAGACTGTTGAACACCTGTTTGCCCACCTGTGTTCAGACCACCTGTTGACACCTGTGTCAGACCACCTGTTGAACCAGCTGTGTCAGACCCCTGTTGAGCCACCTGTGTCAGACCACCTGTTGAACCACCTGTGTCAGACCACCTGTTGAACCACCTGTGTCAGACCACCTTTGTCAGACCGCCTGTTGAACCACCTGTGTCAGACCGCCTGTTGAACCACCTGTGTCAGACCGCCTGTTGAACCACTTGTGTCAGACCACCTGTTGAACCACCTGTGTCAGACCACCTGTTGAACCACCTGTGTTAGACCACCTTTTGAACCACTTTTGTCAGACCGCCTGTTGAACCACCTGTGTCAGACCAGCTGTTGAACCACCCGTGTCAGACCGCCTGTTGAACCACCTGTGTCAGACCGCCTGTTGAACCACCTGTCAGACCACTTGTTGATCAACCTGTGCCAGACCACCTGTTAGACCACATTTGTCGGACCACCTGTTGAACCACCTGTGTCAGACCACGTGTGTCAGGCCACCTGTTGAACCACCTGTGTCAGACCTGTTGGACCTGTGTCAGACCACCTGTTGATCTACCTGTGTCAGACCACCTGTTGAATCACCTGTGTCAGACCACCTTTGTCAGACCACCTGTTGAACCACCTGTGTCAGACCACCTGTTGATCAACCTGTGTCAGACCACCTGTTAGACCACCTGTGTCAGACTGCCTGTTGAGCCACCTGTGTCAGACCGCCTGTTGAACCACCTGTGTCAGACCACTTGTGTCAGACCACCTGTTGAACCTGTGTAACCGCTGTTGACCCTGTGTCAGGACACTTGTGTCAGACCACCTGTTGAACCACCTGTGTCAGACCACCTGTTGAACCACCTGTGTCAGACCACCTGTTGAACCACCTGTGTTAGACCACCTGTTGAACCACTTTTGTCAGACCGCCTGTTGAACCACCTGTGTCAGACCAGCTGTTGAACCACCTGTGTCAGACCGCCTGTTGAACCACCTGTCAGACCACTTGTTGATCAACCTGTGCCAGACCACCTGTTAGACCACATTTGTCGGACCACCTGTTGAACCACCTGTGTCAGACCACCTGTTGAACCACCTGTGTCAGACCTGTTGGACCTGTGTCAGACCACCTGTTGATCTACCTGTGTCAGACCACCTGCTCAACCACATGTCAGACCACCTTCTGAACTGCCTGTCAGACCACCTGTGTCAAATCACCTGTTGAACTGCCTGTGTCAGACAACCTGTTGGACTGTATGCGCGCGCGCGCGTGTGTGTGCACTCGCCCACTTGTGGTTACAGGGGTCGAATCATGGGTCCCGGCCCTGACTTATTACTTTTCATTATTCTTCCCTGTATCCTTACCCTTCCTCCTGCTCCTCCTGCCGTACCTCTGCCTTACCTCTGTACCTGGGTCAGGGTAGTGTCTCGAGGTAACAGCTGTGTGATGCTGCTGCAGATAACGTGACGGTGCTGCTGAGGGAGATCATGGCTGAGGCGAGACAGCTGACAGCAGCTGAGAGATGCTCACTCTTCCTGCTGGACCGCGAGCAGAACCAGCTGGTAGCCAAGGTCTTCGATGGTGAGAGCAAGGAGGAGGTAAGTCACCATACACTATACCTTATTGTATAACACCAAACCTGTATACACCAGCAGTGTGCTGCTGTACTATTCTGTATGATAGTTACAAAGTGGGAGCACCAGCAGTGTGCTGCTACACTATTCTATATGATAGTTACACAGTGGGAACACCAGCAGTGTGTTGCTGCACTATTCTATATGATAGCTACACAGTGGTAACACTCGCAGTGTGTTGCTGCACTATTCTGTGTGATAGTTACACAGTGGTAACACCAGCAGTGTGCTGCTGCACTATTTTATATGATAGTTACACAGTGGTAACACCAGCAGTGTGTTGCTACAATATTCTATATGATAGTTACACAGTGGGACCACCAGCAGTGTGCTGCTACACTATTCTATATGATAGTTACACAGTGGTAACACCAGCAGTGTGTTGCTACACTATTCTATATGATAGTTACACAGTGGGACCACCAGCAGTGTGCTGCTACACTATTCTATATGATAGTTACACAGTGGTAACACCAGCAGTGTGTTGATGCACTATTCTGTATGATAGTTACACAGTGGGAACACCAGCAGTGTGTTGCTGCACTATTCTGTATGATAGTTACACAGTGGGAACACCAGCAGTGTGATGCTGCACTATTCTATATGATAGTTACACAGTGGTAACACCAGCAGTGTGTTGCTGCACTATTCTGTATGATAGTTACACAGTGGGAACACCAGCAGTGTGTTGCTGCACTATTCTGTATGATAGTTACACAGTGGGAACACCAGCAGTGTGATGCTGCACTATTCTATATGATAGTTACACAGTGGTAACACCAGCAGTGTGTTGATGCACTATTCTGTATGATAGTTACACAGTGGGAACACCAGCAGTGTGTTGCTGCACTATTCTGTATGATAGTTACACAGTGGGAACACCAGCAGTGTGTTGCTGCACTATTCTATATAATTGTTGCTGTGACTGTGCGAAGGGAGATCGTGTCCAATTTTGATCTAGTTATCAGTACCATTTAGACAATTCAGCTAAAATGGACACTTAAGATAGGTCATCTTAAGGCGATATTTCGGTCCACTCTGAGCCATTATCAAGTCACAATTGGGGCGAGACATGGAGAAGGCCAGAAGACAGTGGAGGGGGAGGGGGGGTGACGGGAAGAATAGTAGTATAATAGTTGATAGAAGTAGTCCATGGATGTCGTCGAATTAACAGTAGTGGTAGCAATAGTGTAGTTAGAAGCAGAGGCAGTAGTAGTAATAGTAGTGGTGGTAGTAGTATATTTACGAGTAGTATTGATAGTATTTGTGGAAACAGATCAGAATATTGGATAGTTGATAGTTCTTGTTCAGAAATTCTGAATATATGTCAGTGAGTCTCAGCCCAGACTTGTCTACCACCTTGTTACTCACTCCAGACTTGTCTACCACCGTGTTACTCACTCCAAACTTGTCTACCACCTTGTTACTCACTCCAGACTTGTCTACCACCGTGTTACTCACTCCAGACTTGTCTACCACCTTGTTACTCACTCCAGACTTGTCTACCACCTTGTTACTCACTCCAGACTTGTCTACCACCGTGTTACTCACTCCAGACTTGTCTACCACCTTGTTACTCACTCCAGACTTGTCTACCACCTTGTTACTCACTCCAGACTTGTCTACCACCTTGTTACTCACTCCAGACTTGTCTACCACCGTGTTACTCACTCCAGACTTGTCTACCACCGTGTTACTCACTCCAAACTTGTCTACCACCTTGTTACTCTTTATAGACAAAAATATAAGAACGGAGATGGTAAAGTTATCTTGAGGTTGTGACAGCTTGTGGAGCCCTGAGAATCCTGTGTGTGACGTCGGAGTTCCACGGAACCTATTTTGAGAACCAACTGTGTACATCTTTCGAGGATAGTGTGTGTGTGTACGTGTACGTGGCTGATGCTGGAAGCTACTTCCAGCAAAGGAAGTGACCTACCTACCTATACCTACTTACCTAGCTACTTCCTTATCTACCTACCTGGAGGAAGTGCCTGTCGTAGTCACCAGGGGACCAACAAAGACTCCAGGAGGCGAGGGAAGGAAGGAAGGAGGGAGGGAGGGAGAGAGAGAGAGAGAGGGAGGGAGGGAGAGAGAGGAAGACAGGAAGACGATGAGGAAAAAGGGAGATAAGGGAGGAGTGAAAGGGAAAAATGTAAAAATGCGGGAGGAGAAGGATCTTATAAACCAGTGGTTGATATAAACCAGTGGATCTTACAAACCAGTGGATCATAAAAACTAGTGGTTGATATAAACCGGTGGATGATATAAACTAGTGATTAATATAAACGTGTGGTTGATATAAACCAGTGCATCATATAAACCAGTGGATCTTATAAACCAGTGGATCTTATAAACCAGTGGATCTTATAAACCAGTGGATCATATAAACCAGTGGTTTATATAAACCACTGGATGATATAAATCAGTGGCTGACATAAACCAGTGTATTATTAATCAGTGCATCATATAAACCAGTGGATCATAAACCAGTGGATGTTATAAACAGGTGGATCATATAAACCAGTGGTTGATATAAACCAGTGGTTGATATAAACCAGTGGTTGAAATAAACCAGTGGTTGATATAAACCAGTGGTTGAAATAAACCAGTGGTTGAAATAAACCAGTGGTTGATATAAACCAGTGGTTGAAATAAACCAGTGGATGATATAAACCAGTGGTTGAAATAAACCAGTGGTTGATATAAACCAGTGGCTCATAAACCAGTGGTTGATATAAACCAGTGGATGATATAAACCAGTGGATGATATAAACCAGTGGTTGATATAAACCAGTGGTTGATATAAACCAGTGGTAGATATAAACCAGTGGTTGAAATAAACCAGTGGTTGATATAAACCAGTGGTTGAAGTAAACCAATGGTTGATATAAACCAGTGGTTGATATAAACCAGTGGTTGATATAAACCAGTGGTTGATATAAACCAGTGGTTGATATAAACCAGTGGTTGATATAAACCAGTGGTTGATATAAACCAGTGGTTGAAATAAACCAGTGGTTGATATGAACCAGTGGTTGAAATAAACCAGTGGTTGATATAAACCAGTGGCTGATAAATCAGTGGTTGATATAAACCAGTGGATGATATAAACCAGTGGATGATATAAACCAGTGGTTGATATAAACCAGTGGTTGATATAAACCAGTGGTTGATATAAACCAGTGGTTGATATAAACCAGTGGTTGATATAAACCAGTGGTTGAAATAAACCAGTGGCTGATATAAACCAGTGGATCATATAAACAAGTGGTTGATATAAACCAGTGGTTGATATAAACCAGTGGTTGATATAAACCAGTGGTTGAAATAAACCAGTGGTTGAAGTAAACCAGTGGTTGATATAAACCAGTGGTTGAAGTAAACCAGTGGTTGATATAAACCAGTGGATCATATAAACCAGTGGTTGATATAAACCAGTGGATATAAACCAATGGTTGATATAAACTAGTGGATGATATAAACCAGTGGTTGATATAAACCATTGGATCATATAAACCAGTGGTTGATATAAACCAGTGGTTGATATAAACCAGTGGTTGATGTAAACCAGTGGTTGATATAAACCAGTGACTGATATAAGCCAGTGGCTGATATGAGCCAGTGGTTGATATAAACCAGTGGGTGATATAAACCAGTGGTTGATATAAACCAGTGATTGATATAAACCAGTGGTTGATATAAACCAGTGGTTGATATAAACCAGTGATTGATATAAACCAGTGGTTGATATAAACCAGTGGTTGATATAAACCAGTGGTTGATATAAACCAGTGATTGATATAAACCAGTGGTTGATATAAACCAGTGATTGATATAAACCAGTGATTGATATAAACCAGTGGTTGATATAAACCAGTGATTGATATAAACCAGTGGTTGATATAAACCAGTGATTGATATAAACCAGTGGTTGATATGAACCAGTGGTTGATATAAACCAGTGATTGATATAAACCAGTGGCTGATATAAACCAGTGATTGATATAAACCAGTGGTTGATATAAACCAGTGATTGATATAAATCAGTGGTTGATATAAACCAGTGGTTGATATAAACCAGTGGTTGATATAAACCAGTGGTTGATATAAACCAGTGGTTGATATAAACCAGTGGTTGATATAAACCAGTGGTTGATATAAACCAGTGGTTGATATAAACCAGTTGTTGTAAACCAGTGGTTGATATAAACCAGTGGTTGATATAAACCAGTGGTTGATATAAACCAGTTGTTATAAACCAGTGGCTGATATAAACCAGTGGCTGATATAAACCAGTGGATCATATAAACAAGTGGTTGATATAAACCAGTGGTTGATATGAACCAGTGGTTGATATAAACCAGTGGATCATATAAACAAGTGGTTGATATAAACCAGTGGTTGATATAAACCAGTGGATCATATAAACAAGTGGTTGATATAAACCAGTGGTTGATATAAACCAGTGGTTGATATAAACCAGTGGTTGATATAAACCAGTTGTTGATATAAACCAGTGGTTGATATAAACCAGTGGTTGATATAAACCAGTGGTTGATATAAACCAGTGGCTGATATAAACCAGTGGTTGATATAAACCAGTGGCTGATATAAACCAGTGGATCATATAAACAAGTGGTTGATATAAACCAGTGGATCATATAAACAAGTGGTTGATATAAACCAGTGGCTGATATAAACCAGTGGTTGATATGAACCAGTGGTTGATATGAACCAGTGGTTGATATAAACCAGTGGTTGATATAAACCAGTGGCTGATATAAACCAGTGACTGATATAAACCAGTGGATCACTAGACAAGAGAGTCAAGTTGTATTTAGCGACTGACGGATCCATTTGAAGCAGTTAACAGAAATTTGTCTAAGAGAGAGCAAGAGAGAGCGAGAGAGAGAGAGAGAGAGAGAGAGAGAGAGAGAGAGCGAGAGAGCGAGAGAGCGAGAGAG